ATGGATAACTTTAAGATATTCTGTCTGAATCTACAAGAGAAGCATGTCCTCTAACTGAATTTTGCTTGGGGGTTGTATGTAATTTATCCTATTGTGTATAAATTGCGATAAAGAGTGGAAAATGTCCCATCTTTTGTGGGTAAGTTAAATTTCTCTGAAATATTTTCCTAAAAAGTAAAATTCAGACTTGTCCCCAGCACTTTATATATACGAGAGATCACGAGGAATTGACTTATGTAACAAACTTTTCACAATAATTATGTTCTGCACTTGTGCCGATGCGAACTTTGTGCAACATTTAAGAATTCATAAATGTCCGTCACGTGATCAACAAAGTCAAGTAACATCACAAAAATGCTTTAATATAAGATGCCTGATTAAACTCATATCACAAAATACTTACAAATTCATTCACATATAACATATTGGAATTAAAATCTAGCTCAAAGAAATGCATATTTCTAATGCATTTTAAGCCTTCGGACAGCCTTAACATAGCTGCAATTCTGATTCAGTGTGTTTAAGGAGGTTCGATCCTGCAATCAAAAGTAATGAGAATTTTTTATCAAGTATATTTTTAGAATTTATACACATAGCTTAGTTAAAAATCAAAACAAAAAATGGGGGTAAATGCGCTTCTTTTGGTGCTACAGAGCATTTAGTTTGACCTTTTTGCACTGTAAGTATGTCTTTCACATAAATCAATTTTTAAAAGTTTTCCTCCAATATTTTTTTTTATTCAAATAGATTATGGGAACAAACACAATCTTATTTCATCTTGAATAGACACATTGAAATTTGTGACAACGAAAAAAATTTCAAATTACTCCGCATGTTCAATTAATTGACCTTTTTGCACTCAAAAAATTTCATTTTTTGCCATTAAAAATTTAACAAGCAAAAATATCATTTGAAAGTAATGACATTTTACTGAATTTAAGAAGAATGTTTAAAAGTATCTTATATATTCAGAAAATAAAATAAAAAGTGGGGGTCTGTGATGTTAATTTTTAGGTATAACTAAAATAGTGCTAATTTTAAGCTTAAAATAGGGATATTTTTTTCTTGATTTTCACAATATATTTGCTATATTTATCAAATATGATGATAGAATTCATGACAGTTTATTTATTATATAATTTAAGACCAGTATAAAACAGTTCACTGCACAAAATAACTTTGTGTGCAGACTGCATGTAAAAATAGGAACCCAAACTTCACATCCTTTAAATACTTCGAAAGAGAAAAAAATGATCATTTTCTTCTAAAAAACCTTCCACCACAAAATATAGTTCCTCACTTAATGCTTTTGGTATGGAATTTAATCCTGGAGTTTTAACTGAATATAGTTTAATTGGCATTGTAGAATCCAAAATTATTGTAAGAATTAAAACTTTAAGCAGAATTTTTGAAATATAGGTTAAGATATAAATCTGCTCAAAAGCTCAGGAGCGAACCTCGTTAAGCTTAGTTTTCAAGATAGAAGTGCGAAGAGCCGAATCGTTCCGGGTTGGGACTTGATCCCCCCCAGCCGGCGCATCTCTATAGGTTTATGAACAGCGCCGAAAAAAAATGAAGGAGGATCCACCTGATTTCGGGACCATGATGCATCATATTTCATGAAGATATATAAATGTTTATATATATGTAATATTTTTTTTTCTGATAAACCGAATAGCATATGTTTTCTGTATAACTTTTAAACAATATTCAATTTATCATGATTTTGAATAGATCTTTGCAGTTCTTGTTACATCAACATTTGTCAGTATCCTGGCTCGGTTTATAAAGGTACTCTTTTTTAAAGTTAATTTAAAATTGTGTATCCTTTCAATATAAATAAAGTTAGGAACTTTGAAAGAGATGCAGCAATTGTTATATCTTAAGTTTGAAAGTTAAAGTATTTTAATAGCGTGGAAAATTATTCAAAAATATATTTAAAACAATTCCGAGTGTTTGAGATCGTGTAGTACGTGCAATGAACATTTACATTGGTTTTTTTTTTTTTAATTATAACGGTTATTTTCCTATTAACTATGATAACTACAAATTAGAAAGACTGAACAAGCTGGTCGTAAAAAACTTGTTTCTGAAACATGAGAATTTTAAGTATCCTATGCTTTTAAATTTTAGAGGGCCATAAAAGGGAAAATATATAGACAAATTATTGTTGAAAATAAACTATAAAGGAAACATATTTATTTATCAAAATGATAACAAAATTTTTAATTTAATGACAATATTTGTTACCTCTTTTCAAAATATAAAATTTATATCCCCTCGCGGCTTGGATAAGCTGTCCATAAAATTTCATAATGTACCAACTGTAGTTACTTCTCTGAACTACCGAGATATGACGTCATAATAGCATATGACGTCAAGTCTCTACAAATTTGAGCTGAAAAGATTGGGAAAGTGTAATTACTTTACATTGATTTCCTTTCATACGACATGAAGACTTACATTAATGTTGAATTAAGATATCTAGATTTGTTGTTTTAAGCTTCGATGTGCTGTTATGAATGTGAAAATATTTGCAATATATTTTTGATCTTCCTTTTGCCTGTCTGACATACAACGTCTTCACAATGACTAAACATAAACTGGTAAATGTCCATTGTTTCATGTTAGTACATAGAATAGGAATTTATAGATCGTGTATATATTAGATAAGCACATGTGTTTATTTAAAAAAAAGGAGATATCTATAACAGACTTGCTGGGGTATTGTATGTAGAAAAGCCTATTTTGAATAAATTGCGATGAAAGTGGAACATACCCTCGTGTGTGGGTAAGTTGAAGTTCTCATGAAAAAATTACTTTAAAAGTAGAATTCAAACTTGACCCTAGCACTTGACTTATGTAACAAAATGTCACAATAATATGCGTTTATCACTTGTGCCGATGCGATTTTTGTGCAAAATTGAGGAAAATTATGTGTCTGTCATGTGAGCAACGAAGTCCTGTGACATGACAAATACATGTATGCTTTATTATAAAACCTGATAAAAACTCTCCTCGCATATTGGCTGTACATGTGTGGACGGCGAACAAAACGTGACTTAACATACATGTATACATAGTATACAAATTGAAATCAAAACCTTGCTCGAAATAAAAAAAACTATATTTCTAATGCATATTAAGCTTTTGGATAGCCTGAACATAGCTGCGCTTGATGATATTTTAAATTTGCTTGAAAGGGAAAAAATAAAGACAAGGTATTGTTGAAGATAAGGAAACATGGTCATTTCATCAATTTAATACATGTAAATATTTCTTACACCAGAAATCCAATTTTTTCTCATGATATTTGGTACTTCTCCTCAAAGTACAAGCATTTAATAATGATAAATTGAAAAAAAAAATGACCTTCCGAATGAATTAAAAGGTTTTTTACATTCATGCGAATTTTTCCAGAAAATAGTCAAATGGTCTTTATAATCTTTTTCTAAATGCTACCAGTATTTTTCCTATAGATTAAGGTTTGATTAATTGATTTTCCTCGTTTGGGGCATTTATATAAAACAATTTCTCATCAGTCATGCTTCTTTTGTTAGTACTGAAAATCAATGTTGTAATTAACTACCATGTAGTTTTATTTGAAATTGTACACCTTTTAAAATTCGACTCCAATCTTCTTATCAAAGAATGTTAGTATGAATAATGATTTCAGTTTTCTTTCTTTTGTTACAAGTCATAGAATTCAATAAAAGTTGTTATGCACTTCAGGAAAATGATTTAATTAGCCAAATAATTCATAACGTGCTTTATATTACAATATCATCAATTCTTTGCTTCCTGTCAATTTCAAAATCGGAACGATGAAAACATTACTAAGCTGCATTACATGCAATTATGTGCAAAAAAATTATGCCTTAAACACATGCCTTCATATAACAAGGGTCTTTTAAGAGACTGATATGGAATAAACTAAAGCATGCATAACGAAACAATTCTTTCCATTCATGGAAATGACATTATTTTATTTTAATGATCTACTGGGTCAGGAAGTAGAGTGGGTTAAGTGTTTTATCCATCAGATGATGGGTAGAACCTTTGGTGCCCATTTATCGAAATTGTCACTATCATATTAACTCTTGCACTTTTCCTACTATTGTGTAGTTGATGTGATTATATGTGTAATGAGGACTTTAAGACAGGTATTGTGTAAAAGTCGAGCAATATTATGTTTAACTTTTTGATGAGATCTAAAATTTGTATTCGTTATATTAACGTTAAAAATTGAAAAAAGTCTTTCATCATTTGTCAAAAAACCTTGGCCAGATAAAATGCATTCGATGCCAGTTGCAAAAAAAATTAAAATACAAAACGGCACACTTTTAGATTTTAAATATCTGTAGAATTCATTTTTATGACATACAATATTATATTTGTATACAATGCTTAAAAGCTATATAAGTCATCCCTATCTCCACCATCAAATAGGTAGAGTTTTACTCGCATGTAACACCAGCGTCCTCAAAATGATAACAATTATGGCTTCCTATTGGGGAATGTGTACACAAACGAATATGAGACTCCGATCCGGAGCACTTTACCCCGTCTAACCAGATAGGGCCATCACCTTCCCCAAAATAGGCAGAGGTTCTTGGAGTGGCAATACTGAAAGCAAATAAATAAATAAATAAATAAATAAATAAACGTAAGTGAAAACTATTTATAACAAGACAGAAAAATGAAATATATAGTTGTTTTCTTTACTTAACTTACCCAGTATACCCAATCAGCTGGCAGACAACACGAGCTTCTGTCTCTGTCCAGGAGTCATCACAAATGGTTCCCCATGTATTGTTAATGTATATCTCAACCCTGCCTTCGTTTGGTGAATTTCCATTTTGTAACCGTATCGGACCTTGATAATGAATATTGAACAACTTGTTTTAAGTGTTTTATGCCCATAGCATGCTCATGAAATAAATCAAGATTTAATAATTATTGTACATTTGAAAACACATAAAAATTTCGCCAGTGAAAACTTATATACCCAGATCTTCACAGATCAAAGATAGGGGTGTCCATTTTCCTCCTGGTGTGCATTGTGTTGTGTTCCCTTGACCTACTGCAATGTAGTTCTCTTGACAGCCATACGTTACAGAAGGAGGAGAATAGGTTTGACTTACAATGATTCCATTTTCCAGGAAAGGAACAGATTCTGAACATTCTACAGAGAAACAATATAGCTCAAAACCCAGCTGGAAGGTGCACAATGATTAACAATATGGGCAAATAACAATTATGGTACATATATACGGCATGGAATATTTGTATGTGTGAAGTTTCTTACAAACCCGCAATAGAATCTAGCATTGATCCATGTGTGGATTTGTTGTGATGAAACACAGTCGACCGCACAAAGCAAAACATTGCTATAAATGTACTTCTGAAGTAAAGTTTTAGCGTTAATTATTTATTTGTTCATAAAGTGTGAAAACTTGTTTAGAATTGTTAAAAAAAGGAATGTTGAATATAAAAATTGTACAATTTTGTATTTATTTGCACATTGCATACAAGAAACTACATTTTAATCCTAATCTGAGAAGTCAACTGAAGGTCACTGCTGTTCAATGTGTTGTAGACCGAGCTTTAAACGCGTGCCAGATGTATCCATGAATTGCGAACAACTCAAACTCGCAAACCAGTAACTTAAAAATGTTCTATACAACAGGAATCCATCCTGAATAACCAGAATTAATCACCGTGGACCGGTTTTCAATGGGAAATTCTCGGGAAAAAAATCATGTACATGGTGGTTTGCCAACCTTAAGCGAAATGGCTGTAGATTTCTATATTTTGGAAAAAAATATAATTTCATTAAAAGAAAATGTTAAATCTATGAAAACATAGTGTTTTTATTGTCATCACTGGGTTGAGATGGTTTCCGTCATTGTAGGAAACTTTTATGACGTGTTTATATACAAGTTAGAAACCGTCATATCCTCATATATCAATAATGATATTAAAACACACTTCATTTGTTTTCAGATAATACTTTAATAGAAGTTGAAGTTTTAAAAATTTGTCCAGTAATATAAAATGTATAAGCTTAGGTACAGTGTTCATACAGTCTTAAAGTCAGTTTTATTAGATTTTCAAAATTTCCTTGAAAAAGAAAATGGCCTACCTGTAGCAATACAGAAGTTCTTTGATGACGACGTAGAAATACAGGTTGAATAACTATTACACGGTGTTTTTCCACACAAAGTTCTGTTTTTATCCTACAAGTATATCATACAATCAACAATCAGCTCTCAACAATCATACAATCCACTCTAGACGTTTGGATATATTTTTCTTCAAAAATGATTCTTTCTTGATTATGTTCTCTTTTTTATGTAATCTTTTAACACGTAAAAATAGTATAAAATTTGTCTCAGATATCAAATAATTTCGGATAAAGATTTTACATGTCTTGCATTTATGTGATTGATCAATGCGCATCATTTTCAAGTTTTACGTAGAAACATATACATAAGAACATGTAATGCTATAACTGAAATCGTAAAAGTAATATTTTGATAGTTAAAACCTGTTGGTAGGCCTTTTTCACTGAAAAATTTAATACTCATTCTATGCAAATAAAAATAGAAAGAAGTTGCCTACGTACATCTGCTGTTACTTCCTCAAAAATATAGTTATCATAGTCCACAAACGGTATTGAAGAATTTCCTCCAACATTAAGCAATTCACACTCCAGAGTTTCTCGATTGTAATTGACAGACAAGCACGAATGTTGTTGTTGGCAATGTTTTAAACAGAGTTGTAAGCCCACTTTTCTGATAATTCTGATAGCAGTCACAGAAAGTTTCTTTCCAACAACCCTTTGTCCATTGAAGCTGACACAAGGATCGCTAGACTGAACTAAACTAAATGTTGCTAAGAAGAAGAAATATGTTAAGTAATTAATCATATTCATCGTTTCCTAGAATGGCATACTGGACCTCTCTTTTCGAATTCTACTAAATCTATCTACTTCCTTCAAGTTATTTTATAAAATTGTTACATGTGCACTTTTAATTGTCGAGCACTTGATATCAGCATTTCAAAATTTATAAGGTTTCATTTTCAAAGGATTTTATCGATTTTAGTTATTCTAGAATTTCTTTCATAATTACTGAAAAAAGGGATAATTCGTTCTCACAAATATCCATTTTCTTCACAAGTCTTGAATTTCTTAATCAATTGGACCATAGAACTTGAGCAATGATTAAAGGTCTCAGATTTCCATTTCATTTGCTAAGGTATTAATTAACTGTTAGTGTTATTTAAATATTAATAGAAAAAAGTATTAAAGCTCCTGTCATTCTATAAAATTTTCGTCATGAGTGTCTAGGGGGTGATCAGACTAAGGCTAGGGGTTAATTTACTGTGGACTCCAAGAAAAAAACAGGTGTTTTGGAAGCAAAGCCAATAGAAGGAACGGAGCATGTTTAATTTAAGAACCTGATTCCATTACAGTATTTTGAATCAAATAATTATCTACGAATTCCACTTGTTAGTGAAAACCACAACATATATAGACAAAAAATCTTTAACTGCAGGTCAACAGCTATCCAATGTTCGGGGGAAAGCTACATCAACTAAATACCAAATTTAACAATATTAATTTTGATTTGATTTTGTCTACTACTAAAACTTAGTTTAACGCTTAATATTAATGCACGTTTTCTCTTTCTCGTTTCTGTTTGTACCGATTTAGATAGTAAGATGGATATATACCCACATAAGTAAACACAAAGAAAAATTGTTTTTATAATTTTGTGGATTAAACTGGTTCAACAAACCTCATATACATTGTACAATCGATGTATAAGAAATAAGACATAAACACAGACAATATGTGAATCTTTAAAAATAAAGAAAGGATGCTATGTGTTAAATCAATCATCATCACCTTAGTAAGCCAAACAATATCATCAATATGCTTACGAGATTTATACGTATATAACTATATGTTAATCATAATGGTAAGCGTACAAACATTGCTGGAATATTTACATATTAGAAGTTTATTATCTGTTTACAAAATTCTGATTATTTTCTGTTGAAAAATAATCTGCGTTAAATACGACTAGTAGTTTCCTCAATAACAAGATGCCGACCAATCTAATGTGTACAAGCTAGAGTTATAGCCCTTGTCATGTTGCAAATGTTTGCAGAAAATCATTCATTGGATCTTACACTATTAGATCTTACACTATTGGATTTAACACTATGGTTACGTATGATAATAACGAAAAATTGCTCATGCTTAATTTTTTGGTACATTTACATGGAAATAACGGTCGTAGAATTTTCATAGATTATAGAATTTTCATAGATCATAGAATTTTCGCATACTTCTACCTTTACAAATTCCTTGCAGGTAAGATATTTTGGAGAAAAATATTCGAATATTTGTCGATTTTTTTCCTGACTGCCCCCTTCCCAACTTTGAAAAACGATACTACGTGCCTGGATACACATGCCAAAGACCTGCCTAATATCTTTAGGCCTGTAGGGAAAAAACCGGAAAACAAAGTTGGTCAGACTATCGGCATTTGAAGCACGTCGTATATTGTTGTTTGTTTTGAACATATTTTATTGACAATCAAAAGGATGAAAAACAAGCTCTATCAACTTACTAGTTCCTCTCCTTAATATAACTCATAATAATAATTGCCAGGCAAAAATTATCAAAAACTTAAACAATAGAATAGTTACATATATTAACAAGCTATTTAAACCTACAGGATTCATTTATGAACTTGTGAACAGCAGCAAAAATGCCAGTGTTTAACTCTAATGATAAATTTTCATTGCCCCAGAGAAGTAGGTGTACATCTCTGATATCTAAATGAAGTCGAAAAAGTTCTAAATCAAGTTCCAAATGCTTTTCATTGTCTTAAATTAATTATGATGTTTATTATATTATCAATACAAGTTTTAATTCAAAGTCACATATTCATGCATGTAAAATCGATCAAGGTAATTTTTCTGCCCTACGACGTTACGTTACAGAAAATGACGTTCTACTAGCATTTTTCTTTTAAAACACCATCTTACTTTAAACTCTCTTTTTCAAAAAATATAAAAAAAAATATAATCGATATCGAAAAAAGATAAAGGCAAAGCAAAGCTAAAGGTCTTCACTATCAATTGACAAAAACCCGTTAATATTTTTTAGACAGGGCCATTCTTGATGGTTCGTGGCTCTTGTTCTTTAATCAATGCAACTGTGTCCAGGCCCTTTTAATAATTTGAAGATACTCAAGGAAGAATATTTTGCCTCAAATATATCGATATTTTCCAATTTATTGTCAAATAATCATTGTGTAGTGAAAGGAATTTTGACATATTTAAGTAAAATTATTTTCTTTAGATTACAGTCCGAAGTGAATCAAGCATTCTGAGAATATTGCATTAGAAATACTAGTCCCCTACCGGTAAGTGTAATCTGGTTCCGATTAAAAAATGAAAATGGCGGCGGCAAAATGCCGTAATTCTGTATATAAAATCATTGAAACAGAACATAATGCAAACTTGATCTTTAATTCATCAAAATAGACTCACATAACAAAAATCAGCTCAATCTATCTATGATTTAGAAAAAAATAGCAGAAAACACAGACACAAAAACGCATTTTGAGAGAATTGCATTAGCAATACTAGTGCGCTACCAGCAAGTGTAATCTGTTTCCCGTGAAAAATTGAAAATGCCATAATTCCGTCAAAAATCAATGAAGAGGAACGAAATGCAAACTTGATCTATAACTCATTAAGGTACAGTCACATACCAAAAATCAGCTCAATATCTGCAAGCGTTTAGAAAAAAATTGTGAAAAACCCTGAGAAATTGAAAAGGTTGTAATCCCGTCAAAAATCATTGAAGCGGAACAAAATGCAAACTTGATCTGTAACTCATCAAGATACACCCACATACCAAAAATCAGCTAAATATCTGCAAGCGTTTAGAAAAAATGTGCGGAAAACGAAGTGGGACAGACTGACAGACAGACAGAGGGAAGACAGAAGAACAGCTAGACAGACAGAAGACAGCTAGACGGACAGACTCAGAGGAAACCTATAGTCCCTTCCGGTTTCACCGGTAGGGGACTAATTAAAAAGGCCGAAGGAAATTCCTTCAAAATGATTAAAGTGGAACGAAATCCAAACTTGATCTGTAACACATCAAGATACACTCACATATAAAAAAAAAATCAGTTCAATACCTGCAAGCGTTTAAAAAAGGTGCAGAAAACCGTTAAAAATTGAAAAGGCCGTATTTCCTTAACTTAAAAATTCCAAGGAACTTTTAGAAAATTTGAAATCACAAGATTTTACCAAAATCAACAGCTTAAAAACTTACGACTTTTCAACTTTATACACAACCATTCCTCACGATAAATTAAAATCCAAGCTTTTTGATATCATTGACAGCTGGGTTTTTTTCCAATAAAAATGGAACTCGTAAATTTACTTACCTTGTCATTGGTCATTTGCAAAATTTTTTTGTTAAAAAACATTCCCTAAAAAATTATTGAAGCAGAACGCAATCCAAAGTTGAACTTAACTCATCAAGGTACACTTATATACCAAAAATCAGCTCAATATCTGCATTTAGAAAAAAGGTGTGGAAAACCAAGTGGGACAGACTGACAGACAGATGGAGGGACAGCTAGACGGACAGCTAGACGGGCGGACAGACGAGGAGGAAACCTATAGTCCCCTCCGGTTTCACCGGTAGGGGACTAATTAAGTGAAATATGGAGATAACGAACAGTATACAAGCTCGTAAGTCCATTTAAACAATACAAATCAGGACCAGAGCAAACACGGACTTCTAAAACATCAGAGGTGGGATCAGATGCCATGGAGAAGTGATCATCCACTGCCGACCGGTCACACCCGCCGTGTGCTTCTTGTCATGTTCGGGTTTAACGGAAAAAAATCCGTAGTTAACTCAGTGTGTAAATAATGGCCTAACATAAGTATGAAAAACATCTGTCAGCATTTGACTTAGTGATAGAATGTATTTGCTGACACGGTAATTTTATCGACCATAGAACTTGTAAATAATGAATTTAAACGAGACTTGATATTCTTGTTTCATAAACTTGTTTGTCGATAGCTTACCTCGTTTTAGAAATTGTTTGCACGTAGGCCTAGGGGAAATGCTATTGCGCATCAAATCTACTGCGAGACATAAACTCCATATGCAGGTGATGAGGGTATATGCTACATAAGTAAGGGAAGTTGACTATTGAAGAGTTCAAATCATTACGTTTATCATAAAGCTTTGTTGTTAGGTTACTCTTTCTAGTGAAATATCCAAATATGAAACAGATGCGTCATACTCTGTGGTATCTTCTACCATGTGGTATACTTTTACCATTACTCTGTGATATCTTAAACCATTTAACTGAGTGCAGAAGTGAAATGCAGCATGAAAATGAACACACTGAAAACATCACTATTAACCTAAAACAAGTAAAAGATATGAAAATAAACTGATGAACATATGCAAAAATTGAACTATCTTTTTTATGGGACGCTTCTGCTATTTAAAACGGTGATAAAGAAATGAATAAACGAATATAGATTGAACATTAATTATTAACATATGTTTTCCCCATAATGTCAAGATTGATGATAAATATTTCCATACTATTCTAATAGTCAATCATCAGTTCATATTTTAAATCATGATGCTGCTGAGGAAGAGAGCATTTAAAAGGAGAGTATTCCTTATTACTTTGATTTGTGTAGTGTTTTTTGGAATCAAGCAGATGATAGGTACAATTAGCAAATTATTTATCTAAGTTTAAGCATTTTATTTTCGTTTAATATATAAAATAAACGCACTGTTGCAACCTTTGCACTGAATGATTGCACGGAATTAAGTATTCATCTAGCATCTTATAATTTCAAAAATAA